TCTTATCACTAGCATAGGAATGGACTTTTGGAGCCCATTCCACATGGAGGGATACTCTCTGAGCCTATTCACAAGGTGGTTGGCCTAGGCCCTATCCCAAAGAATATGAAAGATTTTGAAGAACCCCCTATGGAAGTCCTCAGCCTCCCTGGGGAGCAGAAAGGGTATGGGATAGGTAGGGTGTTAGTTGGGGGCGGGGGAGGGGAGGAGAGGGACCTGGGATTGACATGTAAAATAATTTTCTTTCTAATTAAAAAAAAATAAAAAAAGAAAGGGCTGGTCAGTTATAAATGGCCTTTGGTAGCAGACAGGCTCTGGCCAGGTACCAGGGCCTTCCTGAATACCACATCCCAGCAACACTCAGACACAGTTTAGCTACATCAGTACTTCCAAGGTAGACAGCTGCTGCCATGCCCTGGCCTGAATGCTAAGGCCAGACAGAGACCACTAGTGGCAACCTCAGCCTCTGACTTTCAGGAGGAAGCATAGAACCTGGCATTTGGCCATCTACTATCCACGTGCAGAGGTACTTTGCGGTTAGGAAAACCCTGCAAAATTGGACACTTTCCAAAATATTCTTTATACTACTCCCAATGATCTAAATAAATAAGTTACAACAATTGTATTTACCAGGACACATCTACTAAAAACATCATTTGAGGTTAGTGTGCATACATGTACAGGGCTATGTGGAAGGGACCCGGTTTTGCTCTTAACCACCAGGAGTCTTCACAAATCACTACAAAAACACAAAGATTGTTTGATTTTAAAATTAGAAGTTTAGCTTTTATGCCAAGTGTGCTATAGTCATAGTCAAATACTTTTGCTATGAAGTATTTCATTGTGATAGAATAACATTTGGATCTTGGAGATAATGGAGGTAAGATTGGTTCACCATTCCACTCAACTCCACTCCATTCCATTCCACTCCACTCCATTTCATTCCATTCCATATCCTACTGAAATCTAAAGATTTTCAATGTCTCTATGAACTTTGTGGATATCTGCCTTCTTTGGTCACCCCTGGCTCTTACTTCTGCCTCTTCTACATGTTTTGTTGTAGTGTCTCATTGCTCTGAAGGCACAAATGAAACTGAGCCCCTTTCCTTGCTATCCACATCAATTCCCAAGTGCTTGCTGGTTTGTTGTTGTTTTGGCTTTTTTGGTGGTTGTTGTTTTTAACTTTATGATAACCCTTTAAATTCTAAAAGAGGAAGAAAAATTGCCAAAGAAGGCACATCTCTGTAAATTCCAGGCTAGCCTGATCTACATAGTAGTTCCCAGCCAGTCAGAGCTATTTAGTGAGACCTTGTCTCAAAATAAGTTAATAATAAAAATCCAAATTTTTTGTACCTCAAAGCAACTTTTAAAAATTATTTTTAAATTAAAATTTTTGTTATGAAGTGACAAAAATGTTCTAACTGGGTAGGCAAAGAAAATAATTTATTCACAACACCTAGAGAAAACAAGTTTTTACTTCTTATTTCACTGAAATTATTTCAGCATGCTATATATTATATTTAACAAAGAGAACTAATGTATAAATAATCATCTACAAATGTGATTTTTGCTTTTTAACTTGCATTTGTTTATTATGTGTATGTGTGCATGTGCATTTATTTATTTTTAGGATGAGCTACTGCTCTGTGACTGGTCTGGGACTGAAGAGCCTATCCCAGCATCCAAAATCTCTGCAGTACTAAGAGTACAGATGTGAACCACCACACCCTGCTGCACACACACCTCTATCAGTATGTTCAATATTTTCTTAAAATCTAAAACCAAAATCCAAAGACATGGAACTTCCTGGGTGACATATTGGGAAGAATTCAATGGAAAGTAGGACAGAATGAGGAATGGGAAGTGAGTATGACTGAAAATACATGATATATGGATATATGTATGACACTGTCAAAGAATACAAATTATTCTTAAATATCTATTTTCTTATAATAAAATCCTACACATATAAATGGGAGATTAATAGGCACACAGTTTAAAGTTCTGTTTTGTACAACAATGCTGTATCAATTTATAGTCTCAATAATGTTGCCAAATTTATCGATTCTTATCATTATTGCAATCAGACTATTCTAATTTGAATTTTGCTTGAATTCCCTAAATTCCTACTCCACCTGGAATTGGTTTTGGTAAAGGTACTAAAAAAGACATATGACTTTTTTCTTTTTTGTTAAACAAATAAAGATTCAGTAAGAAAGCAACAGCAAACTAAGTATTTTCTTTGCTATATACTAAGCAATGTTTCCTTGTATATGTGTGCATATGTGTACCTGGGTACACTCACTTGCCCATGTACAGCATGGTGTATGTAAATAGTGGATAAACATGGATTCAAATCACCCTTCTCTAGCATGCTATCATGCGTTTTGGTGAAGTGTCTCTCACTGAACCTGGAGTTTGTTATTTCAGTTAAACTAAGATGTCCAGAAAACCCCCCAGTGTCAGTCTGTGACTACACCATGTGCAGATGCGGGGTTACAGATATGCACTGTGGCTGGCTTTTACATGGGTACTAGAGATCTGAACTCAGGGGCTACTGCCTAGGAAGAAGCACATTATCCACTAGGTCATCTCCATAGCTCCTAAGTCAGTTTTATATGCCTAATATATAGTATGAAACTAGCTAAAAATTACAGTTGAGACAGTTTAGAAACCACAAAGAAAGTTGAAATTTCAAAATGACTATTATCCCAAACAAGGACGGCTGACTTTAAGACATAAATAAAAACTATCAGCCCTCAACTCTACCCATCACAAACACATCATGAAGACTTTTCCTCGACAAGGCTGACTCTCCTCTATGCTGGGATTTTAAAGCTCAGTGGAGCCACACACATACTACTCACACTTCCTTTTCTTGTTCTTCACTTATAAAATAATGCTGACAGATCAGAGTAGAGTAAATAGTAAATCATTCATTGGTGAACCACTGACAATACAATAATAGTACACTGAATGCAATAAAATGATTCTATAATAAGAATGGGAACAAGGAAAATATTTTTTAGGGGAAACTACAATATGGTCTTAAGAATGACTGCAGAACCTGGAAAAGCTGTTGCTGCTATTGATGCATAACATATTGTCATTACTGATA